GGCTCTGCAGGAGATGCAGGGGGAGATCCAGGGCATGAAGGAAGCCCTGAGGCCCCTGCAGGGCGAGGTCAGCCGGCTGAGGATGCAGAACCGCAGCCTGGAGGAGCAGATCGTGCTGGTCAAGCAGAAAAGGGATGAGGAGGTCGGGCAGTACCGGGTATGAGAGCCCCAAAGGGCACAGCTCCGTCCTGGGAATGTTCTTGAGATGAGGATTAGTGGGATTCCTAGCAGGGATGGGCTTGAAAACTGGCCAAAGAAGCTGAAGGTCATGGTCAGGTTCAGGAGGAAGTGCTTGGAGCAATGGGTGGTTTGCTGGAGTGGGGATTTATTGATACCAATGACAGAAGTTTGGGTTGGATGATCAGAGAGATCCCTGGGTGCCAAGCACAGCTCCACATTTTGTTTGGAGAGTGGGAGCTGTGCTTGGCATCCAGGGATTTGCTTGTAGGGCCCAGGGAAATGGGGTGGATGAGGATGGGAAGGATTTGGAACATCTCCTGCTGGTTGGAATCAGAGTTATCCCACAGCCTGGCATGGGCCAGGTGAAACATGGGCATAAGGCAAAGCCAGAGACGTGGTGGGGCTTCACCCAGCTTGGAAAATGGGTTTTTCCTGAATATATTCCCTTGGTTTTGGCCCCTCAGAAGGTGGAAGGGATGGGAGATTTCCTTCCCAAAGGCACAGGCACCAGACACTTCCCACAGCTCCTCTGAGCACAGCGCTGAGCCGAGAAAAGCCAGTTTTAAATACAGGTGCATTTTCTTACAAATCCTCTTCCTGCTGGGGCAGGTTCTGCCAGGAAGGGTCTCACCCATGTCCCCAGAGCCCCAGGCCGCCTCCAGGGAGGGCAGTTTGGCTGGGCCAGGCGTGCCCTTGGCCTGAGGGACAAGGCAATTCAATCTCCTCAAGAGCACATTTGGCAGAGAGGCTCCACAATTCATCTCCCCCCTTTCAACGCTCTCAGTTCTCGGCTCGCAGCCGCTGCCTCCTCCCAGCAGTTTCTGGAAGCTGCCCCTGCCCTTCCCTCACAGCTCCTCCCTGCTGGGATGGGGATCAGAACCACCAGAACCCCCACTATGGGTTTTCAGGGTTTTTTGGATCCCTTTTGTGCCTCCACATTTTCCTTTTCCCAAATTCCTCATTTATCTCCTTCTGACTCACGGGTTTATACAGCTCTGGCAGCGTCTCAAAACACACACCAAGCGCTTCAGGGGACAAAACCAAGCAGGCAGGAGAAGCCTGAGGACAAAACAAGGCCCAGCCCAGCCCAAATCCCCACCTTTGTGCCAAAACAAAGATTTATTTGCAGGGTGGTTGGGCAGGGGCGGCCTGGCTGTGCTTGTCCCCAGCAGCGCCACGCACAGGGAGATCCCTGAGGAGAATTTCAGCTCTGAACTCGTTTTGTCCCTGCAGGAGCAGGTGGAGGAGCTGGAGGACAGGCTGAAGGAGCTCAAGAACGGGGTGCAGCTCCAGCAACGCAAGAACCAGGAGCTGGAGGAGCTCAGGACCAGCCTCCATCGGGAGCTCTCCATCTACAAGTGAGCTTGGGGGTCANGCACGGGGCAGGTCGGTGCTGCAGGGTGGGCTGGTGCTGACAGGTTGGCACAGGAGGAATTATTGGGTTTGGGGTCTGGGTTTGCATCCCTCACTCCTGCTCTGTGGCGCTCAGACGCTTCAATAGGGTTTTAATGGGGTTTTCTTTTCTATTGCGTTGTGAAAGCAGTAATATTAATGCCCAAGGTGTGTGTCTAGACGCTGAACAGAGTATTTGCCACTTTGAAATTCATCCAGTCACTGATCAGACAACTGTGCTCATATACACTGATAAAGGTTGTGTGTGCCTGCGAACTGCTTGTGCTGCTGTAAAAATTGATAACAACATTATTTTTGTCTAGTAGAAATCATTCTAATTTCTGTATTTGTAATTTTGTTAAGGTTATCGGGTGTGATTTTTCATACTTGGCCCCGGTGACATCCCACCAGTGGATTAAAACCAATTACACAGCGTATCACAGACTATCACCTACTCCTATTGTCACCAGAGCGTTGTGTGGGTGACACAGGGATGGTCACAGCAGCAGGGCCATGGTGGGACACGCTGGTTCTGGGGTCTCAGAGGATGGGGAGGAAAGGCTGAGATTGCTCAAACTCATTGCTCTGGTTAAACATCCCCTCTCCTCCCCAGGGACCTGATGGCACAGCCCGAGCCCCCTCCAGAGCTGCAGCTGGATGAAGCCAGAGCACCCCCAGCCCCACAGGGAGCTGCTCCACACCCAGAACGTGCTCACAGCCCGTTGGATCCGGCAGGGAACGGATCCAAACCCCTGCACGGGGGCAGCCCAGACTCCAGGGCTGGCAGCAGAGATCCCTCCTTGGAGATAAACACAGCAGGAACTCAGCTGGATGAGGGGGCAGCCCGGGCTGGGATCCCGCTGGACGTGGATGGAGATGGGACAGGAATCCCACTGGACATGGATGCAGATGGGGTAGAAGTTCCACTGGACGTGCATGGAGGTGGGACAGGGATCCCAGTGGACCAGGACACAGCAGGAATTCTGCTGGACGTGGATGAAGGTGGGACTGGGATCCCACTGGCCATGGATGAAGGTGGGACAGGAATCCCATTGGATGTGGATGAAGGTGGGACAGGAATCCCACTGGATGAGGATACATCAGGATTTCTGCTGGACGTGGATGAAGGTGGGACAGGAATCCCAGTGGACAAGGATACATCAGGATTTCTGCTGGATGTGGATGAAGGTGGGACAGGGATCCCACTGGCCATGGATGAAGGTGGGACAGGAATCCCACTGGATGAGGACACACCAGGATTTCTGCTGGATGTGGATGAAGGTGGGACAGGAATCCCAGTGGACAAGGATACATCAGGAATTCTGGATGTGGATGAAGGTGGGACAGGGATCCCAGTGGATGAGGACACATCAGAAATTCTGCTGGATGTGGATGAAGGTGCGACTGGGATCCCATTGGATGTGGATGAAGGTGGGACAGGAATCCCACTGGATGAGGACACATCAGGATTTCTGCTGGATGTGGATGAAGGTGGGACAGGGATCCCACTGGCCATGGATGAAGGTGGGACAGGGATCCCACTGGCCATGGACACGGACAGAGCAGGGATCCCAGACCATGCAGATGGGGCAGGAATCCCGCTGGCCATGGACACAGAGGGAGCAGGCAGCCCTTTGGATGCCAACACCCCCGAGCAGCGGTGCCTGAGCCTGGAAGAGCTGGGCAATTACTTCCAGGAGTGCATCGAGGTGGTGGAGCAGCTGGAGCGCGAGCGGGACAGGCTGATCGCGGAGCTGGCGCAGCTGCGCGAGCCGGCGCTGCAGGAGATCCGCCATGCCCACGAGGAGATCCAGGCCGCCTGCAGGCTGCTGGCCAAGGTGGAGCTGGAGAGGGACAACCTGCGCGACGAGATCCGCCAGATCAAGCAGAAGCTCTTCAAGGTGACCAAGGAGTGCGTGGCCTGCCAGTACCAGCTGGAGAGCAGGAGGCACGACCTCTCGCAGCACGCCGCCTACCAGGGCGAGCTGCAGAGCCAGGCGGGGCAGCTCTCGGGGGAGCTGTCCCAGCTCAAGGAGAGCTGCGAGAAGGAGAAGGAAGTTCTGAGGCAGCGCCTGGAGGCTCCTCCGTGCCGCCAGGACAACCTGTACCTGCAGGAGAGCCGCAGGTTGTCGCTGGAATTCGAGAGTTTTGTGGCCCAGAGCCGGCGGGGGCTGGAGGAGCACTACGAGCCGCAGCTGCTGCGGCTGCTGGA